AAATAACGCTGAGGGTAGGAGGGAGCGCAATCTTGGCTAAATTTGTGCTGACAAAATGAGGTATGAGAGTGACTAAAATTGATAGTGCGCGGAAATACCTGGTTTTGAGTTTCTTAAGAACTCAATTTTGCTGCGAATTATCATTAAGATATGAGAAATATGAGACGTAAGCAGTACTTTCAATAAATTTCTTGAGAGAGGAAGAAGCAACTTTGATGAAACAAAAAAATAGAACCTGACAGCTCCTTCATTTTATTTTGTTCTGAATCTGTCGCATCCACCCAATTCTATTCAATTTTGCTTTTTATTAATCGAGAATTTTATCTTTGTTTTTGGAAAAATCCGCATTAATTTTCACTTGTTAAGCATCGCGCTAATAAAGAATCGATTGCACAAGCACTCAGCTCGGAAGTGCATGGGTTTTATGAACTGCATGTTAACTGATGCGTTACCACTTTCTCCACGTTACCAAAACATCCTTGTTGAAACTCTTCATAGTGTTTGTGCCTCGCTAACGGTGGCTACAGGTCAAGCCATATTTTTTTTTTATAACATTCAAAATTGTGCTGTATATGGCCTAGCACTTGAACATAAAATGAGCTCCTTTCCCGCCAAAACTGGCTGATAGGACATGTAGATGTTCAGTTGCTCTCAAGTTCTTCTGAGCTGTTCTTTTGCAGTTTTTTATGCGTTTTTTGCAGTTATGCAATGCGGAAAACGCATATTGACGAGAGGTTATCTGTATGTGTGTGCGTGTGTGCGTGGTGTGTGTGTGTGTGCGTGTGTGTGTGCTTGTCTGTGCGCGCACACACACAAACACACAGAGAGCCTCTCTACCAATTTTTCATCTCGAGAACTACAAAAGCTACAGGGCTGAAACTTTGGGGGCTTAATCTACATGCACGTACGTGCCCCCATCCCAAAAATGGGCGGTCTCTCCCGCGTGGTACTCACGTAAGAGCCCGCCAAAGTTTTTTATGGGTAAGCTGCTAACTCGCGAACCAGGAAAGCTAGAAAGCTGGAATCTTAAGGGGGTGTTCCTCGTCCAAGTAGGTATTAATGAGCTCGAACCCAGCCCCCGGACAAGCGTGGTACCCGCGTACGGGCCAGCCAAAACTTTTTTCGGGTAAGTTCGTAACTCGGGGATCTGAGAAGCTGGAAAGCTGAAATTGTAAGGGGATGTTCCCTGTACAAGTACGTATTAACCAGCTCAAACCCAGCTCTCAAGTAAGCGTGGTACTCGCGTATGGGCCCGCCAAATTTTTTTTTTTGGGTAAGCTGATAACTCATGAATCAGAAAAGCTAGAAAGTTGAAGTTATAAGTGGATGTCCCCCGTCCAAGTAGGTATTAATGAGCTCAAAATTAGCCCTTGAGTAAGCGTGATACCTGCGTACGGGCCCGCCAAAATTTATTCCAAGTAAGTTGATAACTCGAAAACCTGAAAAGATAGAACACTGTAATATTAAGAGGATGTTCCCCGTCCACATTAGTTTTAACAAGCTCAAGCCCAGTCCTAGGGTGTGCGTGGTACCCACGTGCGGGCTCGTGAAAGTTTTTTCCAGTAAGTTGCTAGCTCAGGAGCCAGGAAAGCTAGAAAGCTGAAATTTTAAGGGGGTGTTTCCTGACAGTTCTGACAGCCAGTCTTTATTTAGCTAGAAACATTTGCCGGAAAAACCGGTGCGGGTAGCGACAAAACCTGCGGGAAACTATGCAAGAAGCGCCTCTTCGCACGGGCGGCTCGTGCGTAGCTATGCAATGCAGAAAGCACATATTGATGAGGTTGCCTGTGTGTGTGTGTGTGTGTGTGTGTCTGTGTGTGTCTGTGTGTGCGCTGCGTGTCTCTACCGATTTTTCATCTCGAGATCCACCAAAGCTACAGGGCTGAAATTTTGGGAATTTAATCTAAATGCGTGTACGGGCGCTCTCCAAATTGGGCGCTCTTACCCTTGCGGTACCTACGTATGGGTCCGCCAAAGTTTTCTTTGGGCAAGTTGCTAACTCGCGAACCTGAGAAGGTAAAAGACTGAAATTTTAAGTGGGTGTTCTACATCCAACTAGGTATCAATGCATTCAAACCCAGCCCTCGGGTGTGCGTAATACCCACGTACAGTTTCGTGAAAGTTTTTTTCGAGTAAATTGCTAATTCAGAAGCCAGGAAAGCTTGAAAGCTGGAATTTTAAGGCGGTGTTTCCTGACAGTCCTGACAGCCAGTCTTAATTTGTTTAACTAGAAGCATCTGCCAGAAAAACCGGTGCGGGTAGCGACAAAACCTGCGGGGAACTATGCAAAAAACGTCTACGGGCAGCCCGTTTGTTGGCCAGTTATTTCTTTTTAATCGTCCTTTTGTGGTTTAAAATACTAAAAATAATAATTTTGGTATCAGCGTTTAACTCTTGCAGCACAGATTGTTCAGTTCCTTGTGGTA